ACTCTGCCAGCCTTGCTGCTGTGACCACTGCCCTGGGGAGCCTGGTCCAGTGCCAACCACCCTCGCAGGGAAGAACCTTTCCCAAATATCCACCCTAAACCCACGTGAAAAAAACCCATTTGCAACCAAAAAAAAAAAAGTTTCTATTTTCTTCCTTCCCCTTCTCCTTCTTTAGTGTTTACACAACAGTACTGCAGTGCCCTACTGGCTCAAAACTGAACTACTTGAAGTCCTTGCCGTATAGGCTGGATTTTGTCCCATAGGCAGAGGCTAATCTGTCTGCAGGCCACCAGGACTGCCAGAGCTTGGGGAAGGGATGGAGGCTATCGCAGGAAGGAACAGAGATGCGGAGATATTCCCTGATATTCTACTCTAGAGGCGGCTCAAGAGACAGCCCTGCAGTTGGAAACACTTGCCTTCGTCATTGGACGATCTTGTCCAGCAGCACAGAAAGGATCTTCTCCTCCGGCAAAGCCGCAGCTTCCCGGGAGCTGTGGATTGAGAACCGGTGTCTTGGGGACAAGAGTTGCTGGGCCACCTGCTCCTGGGAATCTTAGACTGCAATGGCCTGGGCTCCCACTCCTACCCGCAGCCTTTTGCTGCCATGTGCATCCTCGGCGAGGAGCGGGCTCTGCTCTTCCCCGCCCCTCCCCGGCAGCAGGGAGACCTGGCCAGAGGGGCTCCCGTGTGTGACTCCGGCAGGTCTCCCAAAGGCTCTGGGAGGGATGGAGTCTGTTGCCAGAAGTAACTGAGAGGCCGAGATACTCCATCCCCTGATCTTGCCATACTGGATCAGGGAAGAGCCCTGGAGTCGGGAACACCTGCTTTTGCCGTAGGAGACAACCCAGCACGTGTTGCTGCACAGGATCCTGATGTGGCACTGGCAGAGTGTCCAGGGAGGCATGGACTGGGCATCTCATGTCTGGGAGGAATCTTTGTCCGTCTTCAGTTTTGGGAGTCAAGTGCAGGGTTCTGAAAAGAAAGAAACAACAGCCTTACCCCAAGGAAAGAAAGCCTGGAAGCTTTGGCTTGGAGGTGCAGTTGGTGGGGCAGCCTGGGCACTTCTTGGGCAGCGAGAGCTTTCTGTGGTGGCACCTTTTGTCTGGCATGGATCTTCATTTCGATTGAATTTTGGGGAGGTGAGACCGGCCATTTCATCGCAGGGCTGAAAAAAGTGAACAGCAACACTTTCCCGCAGGAAAGAAACTCTGGAAGCTTTGGCTTCAGGTGTAGTTGTTGGGGCAGCCTGGGCACTGGGTGGGCAGGAAGAGCTTTCTGTGGTGGCACTTTTTGTCTGGCAGGAATCTTCATTTATCTTCAGTTTTGGGATTTATATTGGAAATTGTAGCGCAGGGCTGAAAAAAGGGATCAGCAGCTCTTTCCACCAGGAAAAAAATTCTGCATCCTCTGGCTTTGAGGTGCAGTTTGTGTGGCAGCGTGGGCACTTCTTGGGCAGGAAGAGTTTTCTGTGGTGGTACCTTTCGTCTGGCAGGAATCTTCATTTGTATTCAGTTTTGGAGAGGTGGGACCGGCCATTGCAGCGCAGGGCTGAAAGAAGGGAACCGCAGCCCTTTCCCCCAGGAAAGAAAGCTTGCAAGCTTTGGCTGCTAGGCCCAGTTGTTGGTTTTAATGGATTTTTTATTTCTTACTCTCTACTTTGTTTTGATATTGACCTCTGCAATAAGGAACCGGTAATTATCTGTCCCGCGGAGGCGCTATAGGTGTTACTGGAGCAATTAAGCTCCTTGTGTAAGGTTTCTTTCAAGTCGTTTAAAGTGTCCCAAGCGGCAATTAACCACTTCATGCTAACGAAAGTATTTCCATCAGGTGATGTATGTTTGAAGTGAAAGTTTTGCAGGCTACCAGGAACCTCCCCTGGAGCCCAGTGACTGAATAGAATTGCGGACACCGGCTTTAGCTCTTTGCAGGGGTGTCTTCGTCAGCCTACGGGGACATTTTGGACTGCTCGCTGGAGTCTTGGGGAACCCCTGGAGAGTCTCCAACAGAGAGTTGGTACATTTTCCCGCCTTGGCAGAGCCAGCCTGCCTGTATACCAGCAGCTTAGCCATTCAACATCGTGTAAAGATGTGCCCGGTGCCAAGCTGGCCAGTGAGCGCCCACCGGGGGGTATTTAAGACAGTGCCCAGCATGGTGGTGAGTCCAGTTGGTGTTGGCCAGGGTTCCCTGCTGGTCCCCACTCCTCGCTCCATCCTGCTTGCCTCTGTCCTGCTCGTGTCCCACCTGCCCCGTCTCCTGTCTGTCTTGGATCCAGTCTGTTTCCCCCCTGCTTCTCTCCAGCGGTCCTTCCATGACTGCCTGAGGCTGACTACACCTGGATCTCTCACTGGTGGTGGTAACCTTTTTGTACTTTCCTTTTCCTTATCTCTCCCTCTTCTTCTCCCCTCCCGCCTCGATTTTACCATTACTTATTGCTACAAAGAAAGCAAATTGTCTGTTTGAGACCTAACATTTGGAGTTTTGTGCCTTAATCTCACCTTCGAAGTAATCATCTAAAGAACCACATTGCAGCCCCTGACCAGTCTGTAAAACCCACCAACTGCACCTGAAACCCAAAGGTTACAGGCTTGCTTTCCGGGGAAAAAGGGCTGTTGCTCTCTTTTTTCAGCCCTGTGCTGCAATGGCTGGTCCCACCTCCCCAAAACTGAATCCAAATGAAGATTCCTGCCAGACAAAAGTTACCACCACAGAAAACTCTTGCTGCCCAAGAAGTGCCCAGGCTGCCCCACCAACTGCACATGAGAGACGGAGGGTAAGGGCTTTCTTTCCAGGGTGGAGGTAGAGTCGTGTGCTTGCAGGAGCCCTGTGCTGAAATTGGCAGTCCTTCCACCTTCCACTATCCCAGGTTGCTCAGAGCTCCATCCAAGATGGCCTTGAACACTTCCAGGGATAGGGCATCCATAAATTCTTGGGGTAACTTGTTTCAGTGCCTCACCACCCTCACAGGGAAGAATTTTTTTCGTAATATCCCATCTAAACCTGCCCTCTCTCAGTTTGAAGCCATTCCCCCTTGTGCTGTCACTACAGGCCCTTGTAAGTGCTGATGAAACTTGACTGGATATTTTTACAGCAAAGGTTATAATTTTTATTTTCTTAAGGCAGTGACAGGGATGATACCGGGATCAATTACACTTCAAAAATCTGTTGCTTGTATTAGTAGTTAAAAATAACAAACGGTATTTACACGCATTATTTCTCGTCTAGGGGGTGCTAGAGGGCTGGTTACAGCGCCCATGACCCTCCTCTGAAGCTGTGTTACCTTCCTGACTGGGATGGTAATAAATACTTTTAGCCAATTTGTCTCTCCAGATCAGCCCGGAAGTCTTTAAAAAGGTACTCAGAAGTATTTCCCCATTCCTACTGGTTTTGCAGCCGGTCAGATGTGTGGGGTTTATGTCCCACAGCAAATTAAAAACACCCACAGCCATTACGTAAATGTGTATTTGTTTGAGTATTCACCTTGATGGTGTTCAGGCAGTTATGCTGAGGTACTTTGTGGATTTTTGGAACAGAAATAACATCTTTTAATGGTGTCTGTGACCGGCTGAGGTGCAGGATGTGGCCTCTCTATTTTTAGCATCTGCTGGTACGCCCATCTGTAGTGAGAAAACATCCTGTGAGTGTTAATTTAGGTGATGCAACCTTTTAAGTCTGGAGAGCTACTTCCTTCTTCAAAGATTGCTAATTCTCATGAAAGAAATAAAGAGAATTTCATGACAGTGACCTATTTTTCACTTTGAATATCCCAACTATTGGTGAGCATTTACATTAAAATATTTGAAGTTTAATAAATTTTGCAAAATGTCCTGGATGTTGAGGGATGTAGTGATGAACTCAGAATTAGAAAGTGGAGATTGTCTTCTTTTTCTTTGAAGCTCACAGGCCGATGAAAAAAAAAAGCTTTCTAGAGAAACTTAAATGTTTTATCTAATTTGTACACATTTCTACAATTAGGACAGCTGTAGGTTCACCCCTGGCAAAATCTCTCTGCTGGTAACCCAGCCACACGCTGATTAATCCTTATTTCATGTTCAAGTGACCATGATATTTTGGTCAGCTGGCGACAGAGCGGTCCAGGTGGTAAAGGAACAAGGACTGAACAGTATGAGCAGCGTTTGCCTTTTTCTCTCCTCCATCCCCCTTTTCTATATATTATACTTTGCCACTTTCTCTGCTCAGCACACAGGAATTTGCTGGATGCATCCATGAATGCAGAACCCACTGGAATCACGACATTTGTTCCAAATGATCCAGCTAGTGCCAGGGAAGCAGAAGTTATGACTGTGTAACAACCACACTGTGAGGAGGAACAAGACTGAAAACCACTTTCCGTAAAGGGAAGGATTTGAACTGGTGGTGGAGATGTGCAAGGCTCTGTTATTCTCCCTCCTTAAGTTGTTGACAGGACACAGTCCCCTCTCTTACCTGTCATTGAAAGGTCCTTCTAGTTACACTTATGGCAGTGTAACTTTGTACCAACATCAGCCGTGCACTGTAAGGCTGCTGAGGTTTCCAAAATCCACCTTTTTTATTTCTGCTAGTTCTGCTTCGTATCCTTAAAGCCAGTACACAAGAACAAAGCTTCAGCAAAGCCTACCTAACATTTTCTTTTGTTTCTGACATCATTAGCCAACGTAAACCAAACCATTAACAGGCATCTAAAAATATTTCTGGAAGTTTTCACGTGCTCGGTGAGGATTCCAAAGTTTTCTTTGAGGGAGACTCAGGGAGACTCTAGGAAGACGATTTTTGGTCCAGGAAAACAAAAAATAAATAACGCAGCTGAAGCGCAGGCACCGTTGTATGAAGCAGATTGATTAACCTTAGTGCTGCTGCGTTCCTACTGGAATACACACTGGAATGACACTGGAATACCGCCGTATTTCCTACTGGCCGCCCGGAAGCGGCTCCTCCCGTGACTCCCAGCGCGGCAGGACCGCCTCCCGCTTCCACCCGGCACATCCTGCCTGGCCTCGCCTCGCCTCGCCCGACCCGATCCATCCCGGCCCGCCCCGATCCCAGGCGATCCTCCCTCCTGCCCGGGTGAGTGCGGGGCCGCGGGACGGGAAGGGGCTGGATGGAGGCGGTGGGAGCCGGGAGGGGGGAGCGAGGACACCCGGAGCCCTGTGCCCGGCGGTATTCCCGCTGTGCCCGGCGGTATTCCCGCTGTGCCCGGCGGTATTCCCGCTGTACCCGGCGCTATTCCCGCTGTGCCCGGCGGTATTCCCGCTGTGCCCGGCGCTATTCCCGCTGTGCCCGGCGCTATTCCCGCCGCTTCCCAGGGAGCTGCCGTGGTGTGGGAGCGAACAGCCCTGGCGGGGAGCAGCTGCTCCCGTGTGGGGTTCTGCGCTGGGGTTTGTCCTCCAGCCCGGCACGGAAGGAATTGGGGGTGCTGGTGGATGGAAAGTTGGGGCTGAGCTGGCGCTGAGCTCCCAGCCCAGAAATCCGGGCGTATCCTGCATCCCATTCAGCGGGCCGTGGGTGAGGGAGGGGGTTCTGCCCCTCTGCCGCGCTCTGTTGATTCTCCACCTGGAGCGCTGCATCCAGCTCTGGAGCTCCCAGCGTGAGAAGGACGCAAACCTGTTGGATGAAGGCCAGGAAGATGATGAGAGGGATGGAGCAGCTGCGGAGACAGGCTGGGAGAGTTGGGATGGCTCAGTCTGGAGAAGTCTCTGTGGAGACCTCCTTGCAGCCTGTCAGTACTTAAGTGCTGCAAGAAAGATGGAGAGGGACTTTTTACGAGGGCCTGTAGGCACAGGACAAGGGGCAATGGTTTTAAGCTTAATGATTTAGATTTAGACTAAATGTAAGGGAGGGCGGTGAGGCACTGGCTCAGGTTGCCCCGAGAAGCTGTGGATGCCCCATCCCTGGCAGTGCTCAAGGCCTGGTTGGATCCTGTTGGATGGGGGTTTGAGCAACTAGATCTTGTGGAAGGTATCCCTGCCCATGGCAGGGGGCTTGGAACAGCTGTAATAACGAGCAGAATGCTACGGAACAGCACGTGTGGTAAATGAAGCTGCGTTCTATGAATAGTAAATATCTGAATGTAACTTCTTTAAATCAATGTGAATGAGCTGAGAGGTTGGTACAGTGGATTTAGGTCTGGAATTCAAAACTGTTAATCCAGGCTTGGTTGCATTTGTGTTGCTGGCATTTGGGGATGTCAGCTTTCGATCTTGGTGCCTTCAGCAGCATCTTCAGATCTTGCTGTCAGTCAGGGACTGATTTTCAGTCTTTAATTTTTTACGCATTCCCTTGCCTCATGCTGCAGTTGGGAATGTTCATTCTCTCGGGAAGGAGGTGATGTGAATTCCCTCCTGCAGGGCTGAGGTGACCCTCGGTTACTGTTGAGGGACAGGCTGTGCAGGAACTGCTGATGAAACACTGCCCAGGAGTTAGTGGGCCAGCAAGGGTGTCCTGCTGCACAGAAGGACTTAGTGCTGCATGTAAATACCAGAACTGGAGTTTAAGTTTCAAAATACGGGATCTGTGTAAATAAAAGCATCTCAACAAATTGATAGCATTTCCTATCAAATGGGTGTAGGGAGTAGAGCTGTCATTTTTACTTAGAAATTATGGCATCAGCACGTTCAGACTTCTCAGATGTTGGCTTTCCAGACTTGCATAGTTACCTACCGTTACTTGATTTTCCCCTTAACTTTCCTGAGAATTTGGCAGCCAAACCATTTGTAGATGAACTTCTTTATTTTTGCATAATGGTACACAATCATACTATCTGCCTGGGAAAAACAAAGTAAATGACTTCCAACTTTAAAATGAAATGTCTGTGCTTGTATGAAAGAATTCTTTTTGTTCTACATAAACAAAGTTTGACAGCTCGACAGGACTGAAAGCAGAATCTTGGCCTTTTAGTTCTTGAACTGGTAAATTTTACAAGTTTTAAACTTGTAAATGTAGTAATTACAAAGCATCAACAGGAAGGCCTAACAGTGTTCCATGTCTTCTGTAAAGTGTTAATGCTTTGGAGCAAATAGTGAGGCTCTGAAACCAGAGCTGTTCCCGGGATACTCTGATATCCCACTGGGTAGGGTAAGAGTTGTTGCTCTGGGCCCGTGAGCTCTTGAGGTTGTGTTGCTGGTTGATTGTTTTGGTCCTCTCTCCTCTTGAACAGGAACCATGCCCAAGAAAGGAGGGAAGCATGCTGAAATGGGAAAAGAAACACAGACACAGTGTAAACGAGCAAAGCTGGAAGCAGCTTGTTCTCCCTCAGTCCTGAGTTTTGAGAACCCAGACAGCCTCTTCGGGAGCTTGATCTCCCCCATCAAAGAAGAGGTGTTTTTCAAGGAGTACTGGGAGCAAAAGCCACTGCTCGTCCAGAGAAATGATCCCCTGGTGGCTGCTTACTACCTGTCCCTGTTCCAGCTGTCAGACTTGAAGGAGCTGTGCAGCCAGGGCCTGTACTATGGGCGAGATGTGAATATCTGCAGGTGTGTGAATGGAAAGAAGAAGGTTTTAAATAAAGAAGGCAAAGTGAATTACATGCAGCTGAAGAAGGATTTTGACCAGAAAAAGGCAACAATACAGTTTCATCAGCCTCAGAGATTTAAGGTGGGATTGTTTCACTGGATATAATTGATGCTGGCTTAATAATGTGGTGTGTTTTGCTTGAGTTGCACTAGACATGGCTTCATCTCTGTCCCCAGGGGAAGTGGTTGACATTGATGACCTGCTGAAATCTTTACATGAGCTGTATTAAAACACAGTTTATACTTTTGCACTGTCCATCATGTTTCACTGCTCTGCAGTAAGAACAAAATCTGATTCATGCTATAATATGTATAATAATATATTCTTTTTAAAATTTTGCTCTGTCACATAAAAGTTTGGAAAAAACCCGAAATGCACAAAATTGATGATTAGGCATCTGTGCTTAAATTATCCCTTCTGCCCCACTGTTTCCTTGTGCAAACTTTGTGGGTTTTGAGCCACTTCCCTTTAATGGAGGGTAAGGTGTGAAACCACGTGAAATATTTCCAGTGTTCTTGCCAGTGAATTGCACCATGGAAAGGTACCAGCCCATTTTAGCTGAGTGTTCTCAGTCCTTGAGTTTGAGAAGGAGACAGTGGTGCTGCACAGTTGTGTAAAGGACTTGGATTCTTGGGGGTGCTTTGATTCAGGTAGTCTTGAAGGTGTCAACACAATTTAATTGTGAGGTGGACCCAAATAAGATCCCAAATACAAGCTGAGTCCCAGGTATAGTGTTCCTGGCTGATGTCAGCTTTAATGGCCAAGCTGCACTTGTGTGGATCTGGTACTTGGCACGTTCTGCTGTTTCCCTTCGGTGCCTTGTCTGTCACATGTGGGGTGTGGGTGAGTCAAGTTTGGTTTTGAATATTCCCAAATGATTGGAGTAACTGGTGAAAGGTCTCTAACCTTTGTATGTTCTCTCTGGTGAGAGAATGCAGGTCCTGCATGTGCTTATTGTCTTATGGTATTTTGCTGTTTGTGGGATTATTTTCCTCTGTTCAGCCTTGTCTGTCTGGTTGTGCAGCCTAAAGATGGCACAGGGAAGAGAACAAACACAGGTTGGGGCACCAGACTTTTTGGCTTAGCAATTACTCTCATGGCAGATCCCCTTTGCATCTCCTTCAGTGCTCTCCTTCAGGAGAAACACTGGTACAGAGCACCTTCCTTCCCAGCCTCTGTGTCCCTGATGTGATCATTCTTCCCAAGCCATGGGGAGGATGTGGGCTGGGCTTGGCTGAGCTCTTCAGCAAGTAACAGCATCTTTTTTTTTTTTTTACAGGAGGAGCTGTGGAAGATTCAGGAGAAGCTGGAGTGCTACTTTGGGTCTCTGGTGGGGTCCAATGTTTACATCACTCCCCAGGGATCCCAGGGCCTTCCTCCTCACTATGATGATGTTGAGGTAGGACAGCACAACCTTGCCTGTGAAACTGTGCATGGGCTTTTGCTGATGGCAGTGTTTGCTGTTGTGTATGTGCTTCTAACCCTCCCTCCCACTAAACATTATAGGAAAATGTTTTTTTTTTTAATTTGTGTTTCCTTGTAGTCATTTTTCTTACATATTTTTGCTGAAAATTTACTAATAGTAATATCTAATCATAATATCATGTAAACTGGGTTTTCCAGACCTGGTATTTCCATTAGATAAAAAGAGAAGTTTGTTTTCACAGCTGCAGAAGCTTTCTAGCACCTGTTTTTTCATTTTCACTTCATTCAGGCCCCAAGAATTTACAAGTCCTTTTTCCTTTACTAAGTACTTGCTCTTTCTTCAGCTGGACTGTAACAGCAGACTGGTTGTGCTTGTTGGTCCTGCTGTTTTTAAGAAGTTACTGATATGATGAATTCCTGTGGTCCAAGTGCATTTTAAATCAGCTTCTAAAAGAAACATACAAATATACACTGCGTTATAAAAAAAAAAATTGGACTATCCCACTTAAACCAAATCAAAAAATCCAATCCTTATATGTATATTTTGCTTTTTAATATTTTCATTTCCATTAAATACACCTGGAGTTTCATTTTCCTTATGCTTGTTATTCAGCAGCCTCACATCCAGCATTTCTAACTCATGCCATCTACCCCCATTGGGCACCCTATAGAGGTTTCTGATGCTCTGTTGGGGATAAGCCTCTTTCACCTGAAATTTTGGATATTTGTGTGGCAGATGTTCCTTTTGGGTTAGTTCTCTAGCACTTACTTAAGTGACTGGAGAGAAACAGGGATTTCCAAATGCCTGCCTTAGGATAAAACAGATCCCACTTCACAACTCCTCTGTCTGTTGTCTCTAAATAGAGACAAAAAAAATTAGTTCAAATTTAAATTTCTCTGAATTGTAGCTATCTAAAAATTAATGTGAAAGGATTTACTTCCTTATGGATTTGGATTTATGGTCTTTTGCAGGTGTTTATCCTTCAGCTGGAAGGCGAGAAACACTGGCGGCTCTATAAACCAACGGTGCCTTTAGCTCGGGAATATAATGTGGAATCAGAAGATAGGATTGGGAATCCCACACATGAGTTCATATTAAAGGTATGAGAATTTCATTGCCTTAGGTGGTCTGGGCTGTGATTGCCAGAAAAGTTAAAAGTGGTCCATTTCTTGAAGACAGTGATTGTGGCTGTGAAACTGAGGGGAGGGTTTGCACACTGCGAGCACGAGAAATTTGGGTGATAGTTGTCTATATCCTTTTTTAAAGGTATCCTTTGCTTCTAGTATTTAAATAATGGGCCAAAAACCCCAGTTATTTCTGTAAATTGACTAGTACTCTCCAGGTTGGGCACCCTGACTCCTAGGTCATGTTTGTGGAGTTGTGTGCAGAAAAAACACTGGGTTTGTGTATGGTTATGAAACATTTTTATGCTTTTACATGCTGCCTGTAATCACTCAGGCTAATCCTTCTGTGCACTGAGACTTACTGCTGCACTGAACATTGTCACTGTTCTGGTGAATGAGATTTAAATATTTATCCTTGGCTGATAAAGAAAAGTATGAACCAAACCCCATATAAACTTGCTGTATTAATTGCTCTTCCTTTTTCCAAACCTGAAATTCAAGTGTTTAGTTGGTGGTTGTTTTTGGAATAAAAGGAACATTTCATGAAGATTACTGAGTGTCAGCAGGGAATCTGGTGCTTGTCCTGTTCTGTTTTACCTGCTTTTGAAGTGTTACTTGTCCAGCTGGTGGTGCTGTTCCATGTTGGAATCCTCAGGAATTTCTCTGCCTTTTGGCCTGTTATGGAGCCTCTCTCTGCTCTTCTCAGTGTCCAGAGCTGCATTTGGGTGTAGGTGTTTTAGGAATAGTGTGACACATTGGATGGTGTAGGTGTTTTAGGAATAGTGTGACACATTGGATGGGATGCTGACATCATGAGCTGTGTTGTTTGACAGAGGGGAATATTCAATCGTCATCGTGTACTGGGTGATGCAAAGTCTAGCCACCCATTTCTTCTGGGTGGCTGGTGTCAAAATTTGGTTGTCTCTTTGTGGCTGCCTCTGAGAGGGATGCTGTTGTTTGACTCTATCTCTTCCCTAAACATCTTTCTAGAATATTTCCTTTCTCCTTCTTTCAAATGAAGAGAATTCAGAATACTCTTGGTTGGTGTAGTCCCCACTCTAGTAAGGAAGGCAGTTTTCTTTGACTGTGCTGTCCAACTCTATAGGTGTTTACAGGACAAGCCATAAGTAAACTTTTATTTCCTTCTTGGAGGCAATTTTATGTGCTTTACATCTTGTCTTGACTTTCCTTATCTAGTTTTTTTTCAGTGTGGAGTTTTAATTTACATAGGTGAGAAGAAAGATAGGGAGGAGGAGGAAGGTTGTACCTGTTTTTTAAGTGCTTTAACTGAAAATCTCAGACAACAGTATTGTAACAGATTACCATTTCTATAGAATATTTGGCTTTTCTTGTGGAATACTAGCCTTTTCTTTTGATGTGATCTGACCAAATCCCCATTTCACTGCTCCTCTGCCAGCCCACTGTGTTGCCAGCAGGTCCATCTCAGCTGCTTCTTTGTCCTCTTCCTGCAGCTCAGTGGGAGTCTGTGTGTTCTGTAATGTTAAAAAGCTTGTTTCACGTTTTCAGTAAATATTGACAGCAGGTTGGAAAGTTTGAGGTTCTGAACTTCTGGCTTAGTGTTCTTTATGTTATTAAAGTGTACATTGCAGGACTGCTCAATTTTGTGATTCTAAAGGATATATATTGTCAGACTGTCTGCTCAGAGTATTTTCTCTGACTGCAATAAGGTTTGACCTGGTGCCCTAAATATATCAATTTTCTTGCAGCCAGGTGACTTACTGTACTTCCCAAGAGGCACCATCCACCAAGCTGACACTCCTCTTGGGACCTCTCATTCAACACACGTGACCATCAGTACCTACCAAAACAAGTAATTATTCTTTATCTTTTGTTTTGTGTGGCTTTCCTCTGCCAAGTGATGTGTGTGAGTAGTACAGACCTGAGATGTGGTGAAGTTTTGGGGCTTGGAGGAAGGAGGGGAGCAAGAAGACTTGTTGTTGTTTGAAGCAGCCTGTTTGAGAGGTTTTCATGCAGCAAGCTTGATTGCTTTTTAATTGCTTATTTTATTATTTACCAGCTGTAGGCTTTAATGTGGAAGATGCTACAACTGCAAACTCACTCCTATATTTAAAAAAATCTCTCATCAGTGGCTGAAGTTACTGTTCATTTCATAGCTCAGATAAAGAGTCATGAGTTACTCCTTTGATCATGTTTTGTCCTGTATTTGATAGTCACCTGCACTAATCTTCTGACAGATTTGCTGCCAATTCTTCCTTGAAAACATTTTCTGCTTATCTGTGTTTTTTTTTATCTCCTACCCCATGTATGCAAGTCAGATTTCTTATGACACACTCCCAGTCCTTGTGCCCACAGTTACCACACAGGGAAATGTTCTTGCCAACCTAATCAGCCTCCCAGATGCTGGGTTTGGAGCCATTGGCCTGAGTTAGGAATTAGGAAGGGCAGAACAAGTTTGGGCATATTCTAGATAACTGTGAGATGAATCTCTAACCACCAGCTGTGCCATTCTGGAAGCCCAGGATGGGCTGGTAACTCTTCATCTGGCCACTCCTCCAACATGGAGAGAGGGTTAAGAGGAAGCTGCTCAAAGGTGTGAGTCTTCTTAAAAAAGTTGGGTTCAGATTATTTCAATTTACACACATGTTCTTTTATTTAGAAGGTAAAAAAAACCAAACCCAAAAAACAGGAGAGGAAGGGGAAAAGCTGTTCTTCCTCCAAGGTTAAAAAGTGGAGTCATCCCCCATTAAGGCTGTTGGTAATGAAGTGCTGACATCCTGCCTCTGCACCTTCTGTCAGCAAGTGCAGGGAAAACGAGCAGGAGTCCTGGTGCAGGCTGGTGTTCTGACTTGGCTTGTAGATGGAAGTATGATCTGGAAACATTTCCTTGGCAAATTGAAGAGAAATCCTTGAAAGCAGCTGTGGAGGAAGTGCTGGTGGAGGTGGCACTTTCAGGTATTTTCAGGTTTGTCTGGGCCAGATCCCAGCAGGAGAGAAGTGTGCACATGTGGGATAAGCAGGGCAGTTTGGAAAAGCAGTGAGTAGCTGAAGACAGTTGCTGGCAGATGGAGACTATGGGGGCGAAGAAAGGGAAGTAGTGAGGAGTAGATGTCTAATTCCTTTCAATGGCCAGAGTTCTTCCCTCCCACTGCGTAGCAGACAGTGGAACACTTGAGTGGAGATGATAAAAAAATATTGAGACTACAAAAAGCGGCACTTTTTCTTTTTCCTAAACTAAAGTAGTGACTAGAGATCAGAGCTGACAGCAGGGAGTGCTGAGGGAGAACAAGAGCAGAGGGTGAAGTGTATGTTGGAGGACAGGCCCTGCCCTGCTGCCTGCCCTGGGTGGGTGGGAGTTCTGCTGGCAGCCCTGGATGTTTGTCCATTAAATCAGCCTCAGGATGTGGGAGGGAAGAAGGTCATCCATGGACAGGGCAGCACTTTGGCGTGAGCCTCTTCCCGCCCAGGTTGACTCAAGCTGGGCACAGAAGGTGCAGGCAGGAGTAGGATCCTCCCTCTCCTCCTCTGGTTTATTGTTACAAGTGGGGAACAGAAGCACAGGGATCAAAGCCAATGTTTTTGGTTAAGTATGTAGGCTAAGAATGGGGATTTAATGCAAACAAGACACCTACAAACTGCCTGTCAGGTGTCATTAAAATCCCTGCAGGCATCTTGTTTTTGGGGTCATAATTAAGTTTCTAGTCAAGCTGAAAACTGATGCCCTGTTGGATTTGATAACCCTGGGTACGTTTCCTCCTTCAATATAAATGTCTCAAAAGCACATGAAGTGACAAAACCAACCCCACACACTTCACTGTGTGCAGTGGGGCTGTAGGTGCCTGTGGCTGGATGATAAAGACCCCAGGAGGAATTCATCAATCACTTAAGCTGCAGTCACTGATAAATGGCAAACACCTGGAAGCAGAAGAAACTGGACCCTTCTCAAGCCAGTTCCTTCCCTCTGTAGAAGTGCCACTGACCTGAGGGTGGTGAGGACACACATGTGCATGAGCCTTTGCCTGAGGCTACAGAGCAGTAACAGAAGGGCCAAAGGCACCAAGCAGATCTGGAATTCTCGGGGTTTCCAGCCCATGACACCAGTTGTGATGTCTGTTTTATTTCAGTGCAGCTATTTCAGGAACCTTTTTTTTTTTTGTTTCTTCCTGTCCATCAGCTCTTGGGGAGATTTCTTACTGGATGCAATTCCTGGCCTGGTGTTTGACACAGCAAAAGACGACGTGGTGCTGCGGACGAGCATCCCGAGGCAACTGCTGATGGTAGGTAGGTGGGACTGAGGGAATAATGGTGCACCCTGGTGGAACTTCAGCACTTGATCTGCTCTGAAGGCTCAGTGCAATGGCACTGCCTTGTCTAGCAGGCAAGCCACTTCTTTTGAAGTCTTCAGGATGATCTTCTGAGGTTGGGTCCATCTCAAGCATTGCCTAATTCATTACACTGCTTTTCTTTCCTATCACAGTGTCCTTGTATGGCTTGTTTCCTTCTAAAAGTAATGCTATTTGCTTGGGATCTGTCAGACAGGCATAATTCCTCTGAGGCCAAGCTTTTCAGTCTTTAGAAGTTAGGGAATATGTAAATTGTTGTGTGACCTCTTTATGGTGATCCTGTCGTGCTGATCAGCTCCAGGAGGAACAAGTGTCTCTTCAACTGCATTTGCTTGTCCTTTAGCATTGCAGTAGCCCCAGAGCAAGGGAAAGTGAGCTTTCATGGGGAATGTGTAAAACAAACAAAGGTGGTTGTTCTGGGACTAAGTGTTAACCTTGCAAAGATAAAAGAGGAGTGTTCAGAATTTTACAGCATTTCTGTACTGGCTTAGGCCTGGTCTGTGCAGCTTGAAATCATGTGTGGATATTTAGCAGGTGAATACAGCTGACTCCACCAAAAAGCTGAGCAGCCTTTTGAGGAGGCTTGCAGACCACCTGGACCACACCAGGGAACTGAGGTCGTCTGACATGAAGAAGGACTTCATTGCGCACCGGCTGCCGCCTTGCTTGGGATGTGACTCCGATTCCTTGACTCCAGGTGGGTTTTGAAGTTACTAAAACTGGCTGATGCCATGGTAGAGCTGTTGCTAACTCTGCTCCTCTTGGGACTTTTAGTATTTTGTGGTAGGCAAAGATCCCAGTCCAGCATCAGCTTCGTGTGCCGTGAGGCCCCACGTGTGTGTTTGCTCCCCGTGTCCAGTGGGAGAGATGACACTCCCTTCGAGTGGAATAAAGATTATCCTAGACTGGAACTGGCAGCTGTGATCAACTGTATCCCGAGAGCATTTAACTGGGAGCAGTTTTCCCTGGGCTCTAGCTTGCTATTTATTATAGTTATTTGCAGACAGGAAAGGTGAGAGAATTAAAAAATCTCTTTCTCCTTGCCCCCTCCACAACCAGTTTGAGGACATGTGGGTGTTGAAACATAGCTTAACAAACAGTCCAGCCTTGAGAGAGTGGGGAGAGCACAGGGGGGCTCAGTTGAACCGTTTGTCTGGTTTTCTTCCTTTCTAAGGAGGATTTATTTCTCTTAGGTGGGAAATTGCCAAAAATAGACAGCAAAATCAGACTGCAGTTCAGAGATCACACTCTCATCTCCGTGGAACCAGATCAAGAGAATGCTGTGGGTACAGTGAAGCCACCTCTGTACATTTGGGGTGGGCTGGGGAGTGCATGTGAGGCATGTGAGTTGTTGCTCTCCTGTGCAAAAGGTCTGTAAGGGTCATGCAGTTACACTGAGCTGGATCCTGCATCCCATTAGGGTTTGTTAGGATACTGTGGGGTTGTTTGTTGAGTGATATGGCACATTCCAACCTTCTGGAGGGGGGGCTTCAAAACTAAATTCAGCCTATGATTCTGTAGGGGAGGTACATGGCTTTTGTCTCAGGTTTGATGGGGTAGATCATTACAGCAGCTAAATGGCCTCTACAGGTCTTGATAATAGGGTTTTTTTCTATTCTTTGTATTTAAGAACAGGAATAATTTATAAAAATAGGTTTTCTCAAGAGAGGGAATTCTGGTGGTTGCAGCTGCTGCTGTGGCTGCATTTAGTCTTCACTTCTGGGTTATCTCTGTATCCAAGCAGGTGCCAGGGGCACTACTAAGTTGTTCCACAACATCTTGCATTATGCTGTGTTTATACTGCTTCTCATCCATGAAGGTTTTTTAGTATGAAATTGCAGAAGTGCTTTTTATCTCACTTTAAAAAAAAAGAAAAAAAAGGGGGGGGCGGGACACACAGCAAAGATTATCTTGTACAGTTTGGGGTTTGTTTGGATGAATTGAATGTTTCCCAAGAAAAACACACCATAACTTCCTGATTTTTTTCCTCCATCTTGCTTGTGTCCATATTGAGACTGTGTAGGTTTTGGAGACTTTTTTCCCCCCAATTTTTGGGCCACCTTGCCTTCTGATGTCACACAGATCAACCCAGGATGACAGGACACGTGGAAGACTCGTGTCCACAAATTCCATGTGCAACCTGCCCAGAGAGCTCTGAATTGCTTTGCACAGCTCTGACCAAGGACTGATGATGGGCATGTGATTTTTAAGAGACAGACCAGTATCAGACTGGAAATGTGTCGAGGCACATTAATACTTTCCCTGAAATGGCCTGTTTTCTGTACAGCATCACTCCTGGGACTCTAGCAGGGGCAGTTTTAAGGCAGAAGATGATTGTAAATAAATTTTCAGAGGTGTTTTGGAGAGTCCCTTATTGCTGTGGGAGGTGGCTGTTGGAAAATTCATTTGGGAGGGTGACTTGCATGCTTTGTTGTAAGAGTGACTCCAGACTTAAGGAGCATTGGCAAGTGCAGTGAGATGAGTCTGAGGCTGTGGATCACAGGTAACTGTTTCCTCCCTGCTGTCTTTTAGGATGAAATTCGCAGGGAGATGGTTTATGTGTATCATTCCTTAAGAAACAGGAGAGACACTCACATGATGGGGACAGATGACACTGCCAGTGAGGATGGCACGGCCCAGGTTTGTTCCTGCAGACACACCAAAAATTATCTTTCCATGGTGGGTTTTGCTGCATGAGATGAGCTTGCCCAAAATGGCAGCAGGGCCTGGGTTCTGCCGTGATCCTCAGCACCCAGAGCCTTTCTGCCCAGCCCTGCAGTGCCCAGATGAGCTGAGGCTGCACCACAGAGGCAGTTTAACAGTGGAACTGAGTAATGTCATCTCATGCTTAATTAAACACTCGAGATGTTAACAGGATTTCTGGTGCATGCCTTATGGCCCAGTGAGCAAAGATACTGGAGCAACTAAAACCAGCTCTTACTGGTGTGTCCTTAGCACATCCTCTGCTGAGGCTACTGGATAGGCCAGCAGATACTCCCTAGGGATCGCTGCCATGCTAACCCCATGTTAGATTCTGTATCCAATGGAACACACTGCAGGGGTGTTCATTTTAGGTAGGGTGGGTCAGCACTGCGAGTAAAGACCTACCTTGCTCTGGAATGTACTTTTCAGGTTGTCTCTGTTCCTGCTCGCAGGTACAGTGTGCTTTTGCTGGGTCATAAATCCTTCCTAAGCATGGCTTTGAGCTTTGGAACCTTTATTTCTGCTTTTTTGGCAGTGAGATGCTGTGTCTTAGCTCTGTGATCCGAAACACTTGAATGGCAAAACAGGGCACAGTCTGTCCTTGTCTCGGTAATTACAGCAAGGCTTTTTGCCTGGCACTTATTTTTCTTTGGAAGTAGATCTCACTGGTCCTCCAGAGCTGAGGTTGTACACTGGCACCTGAACAACATGTGCAGATCCCAGAATATTCCTTCTTGCCCTTGAAGACTCCAGGCCTGGGAATGGAGCTCCTCTGTGGTTGTGTCAAACTATATCCAAAGACTGCATGTGGCAGCTAGAAATAAACTTCTGTGAGCTTCCAAAAATAATGGATAGGGCTAGGCAAGAGTGTAAGTTTAAGGCTATTAATTCTTCCATGTGTAAACCACAGGAGAAAGCCACATGCTGTAAACATCCCCACCTCAAAAAGCGTGCTGGAACACGGAATAGAGTTCAGCATTTTCCCTACGAAGATAAAACAGGTCTGGATAAAACCGAGTCTTCTGGAGAATGCTCTCAGTGACACCAGTGCCTTGTGGGAAGGGAGCACATTCCTGCTGCTCCCTACCCACAGCCTCACACACTGCTGTGCAATAAGGACACTGCTCTCAGCTGAAGGATTTTTTTTCTGTTTCTTCTTCCCCAGCAGACTCATGGGCTGCGCTTTCCTTTGTCATACTTGGAAGCACTGAAGCAGATTTGGAGTAGCAGCACTGTTCATGTTAAAGAGCTTAACCTCACCTCAGATGAAGAGAAAGAAAACCTTGCCTTGTCCCTGTGGAGTGAATGTCTGATTGAAGTTCTTTGATGCTTCTGTGAATTAGCTGCTCCTCTAAAGGAGTGTTTCTGTCTATTAAGCATCTCCTGAGAGCGAGGCTTATTAAATTACTTTTTTATCCATCCAGCCTCTGGTTTGTGGTGCTGTCTAAACAAATACTTGCTTTTCTTTCCTCAGTTTTAGGAAACTGGGCATGGGGAAAACAGGTAATCTGCTCACTGTCTAGTGAGCCACAGCTCCATGTCTGGGATGCACAAAGTCACTCCTAGTAACACCAATGCTGTGGTATCCCCTTCCCTCTGGAGAGCTGCTAAAGTTATACATGGGGCAGGATCCAGAACCTTGGGCATAGAACAGTAACTTGTTTTTTTTCATTTGTAAAGTTCAGCAGCAAGAAAACATGTTTGTTCAGTTTGACTGCCCTGACAGGACAGAAGCTTCTCAGTAGAAGCTGCGTGTGGTGTTCCCAAAGGGGGAAGATTTTGCCCTTTCCTCTCAGATGCTGCCAACACTGGTGCTCCCCCAGCACCAGTTTTAATGTCAAAGTAACCCAAAAAACCTCTGACTGGAGCCTGTATCTTCAATGCTCACTCAAGTGGGTTTTGATGAGTAGTGACTATTAAAAATCAGTGAAGTATTAAACTCATGTGACAGCAGAGCCATGTACTCAAGATACTTATCCCTTTTTTTTGTCCATTTGAAAAGAAATATTTTACAGGAATGTGCTTGACACCTGCTAAAAAACTATTGTTTAGTTTGTTTAAAAAAAGAAACCGACAAGCAAAATGTTCCTCCTAAAAAGTTTTATACAGTTAAAATATACATGCTTTAGCATTTTACATTCAAGGTCTCCTAAGTACAAAAGCCTGCTTTGCTTTGTTATGTAACACTGAGACACCAAATATGATTTAGTCATTCTTCATTTAAAAAACTACAACTTTTTACACAGGCTTTTAAAATTTCATATGGAAAGCAAGTCACGTGCAGAACACTTGATGTACTGACTTACAAGGAAAAAAGCTAAACAAGTGCTTTAGTTGGAAAAATATATACATATATTTGAGGATCTGTTACTCAAACAGCAGATTTATGATAATTTTAGAATGTAAAATAGTAAGTGCAAGTAGATAGTTCTTTTTTTTAAATAGTACTATATAGAACTCCATTTCATACAAAAATAGACATCCATATATTTTATTTCTATGACAGACTTGGGGTTATGTCTTCATCCGTTTGGGGGTGATCCTGTTTGAGTGCACAACTGAAATAGTTACAGCTTTTGGAATCTAAAATATCTTGCCTTTAGCTAACCTGAACTCCTTAAATAGTCCTAGAAATACATACCCTGAATATACAAATATGAAAAAAAAAAGGTATTTTCAATTAAGTAGGTAAGGGATGCTGAAACCAGTGATCTGAGGGATTTCTCATTAAGCAACACTGGAATGCAGGCTGCCAGCACCTTTGAAAATACATGCCAGGGTGAGTTGTTCTCTGCAGGAAGACATGGTTTCAAGACCAAATGACATTGCATTAAATTAAGCTATGTACACTGAACCAGAATACAGCTTACATTTAAAATCGTTGCTGTGCTAAAAGCAGCTTTAGCCCTTGCAGAAGTGCAGCCTGACCCAGGGCCATTTATCCCTGGTTTGATACATGCACATATGGCTCCTGTTAAAGGTGATCTTCTGGGATAACTCACAATTGCATGGGTAGTAAACAGGCCATGGGGCAGCAAAACCAGTTCCTGGATCTGGGAATTTGGTACAGTGAAAACGAGGGAAGGCAAAGGCCGACCAGTAACACTGAGGGGGTGAGTGTCAGGCTTTCTCTATCACCTCATTTCACATGCTGAGCTGGAATTCCAATTCAAACTTGTCTTTATGAACAAAATAAATTGCATTTGAGCAAGATTTGAGCTTCAGGATTGCCTGGAGCCCAAACAGTTTCGCTTGGGACATGAAAGTCCAACTCCCCTTCTTTCAAGCTCACCAGTGCATTCATTCCTCAAGGAGCTTCCATCAGTGTGAGGAAGGTAAAGACAACATCTCTGAAGAGCCTTTCCCATGTTATCTCTTGCAGTTCCTATACTGCAAAACCTATGTCTAGTCTTTTATACTTTTATACCTTTCATACTGCAGATGAAGACTAATAAGTGACTTTCATAGGAGCAGCCTCCGAAAAATCAACTTCCCTGTAGAGAGACATTGGATCAACATCTCCTCCTCCAGATTTGTGCAAAATTCAGTTCTTCAAAGAGTTGGTGCTTGGTATGAAGGAAAGTAGAGAGGAGTTGCTGCTTATGGTTTCAGTGGTGTGTGACTTCAGTAGCTGGGGTCTTGTTTTCCCCCCTCTAAGATGTTAATAGCCCACAGAAGGTCCATCTGTGGGGTGGGTTTTACAATATTTCTATATCCCATTTCTGTGAAGGTCTGTCTTCTACTGGCTGATTCATAATGATGTGGTTCTTGTCATAATAATTTCCTCCTTAAAAAAAAAAGAAAGTCATGAAGGAAATTTTTTTAAAAGAAATGCTCATAAAAATCTATGGATAATATTTAGGAAGTATGATTAAGTAGGAAAATTAGCTGAAAAACAGAAATTCCATGAGGTGTCTGTAATTGAGCAATGACAATTTTAACCAGCCTTCTTTTTTAAACTCCTTTTCACTTTTTGAGCCACAGCTGTTCTGTGGTTGCTTCTTGACCATTTTGTCTTTAACTTGCATTCCTTGCCATCAGCACTGCTCAACTCTCTGAAGTACAGTAGTTGATTTGATCAAAATAAACCTCTGGAATCAAAAGAGAAAGGTTCCTCCCTGCCCTGTTGTCCCACTGACAAGCAGCCGGATATAAACCTAACAGGAAACCTTAAATACAAAAAAAAAACCACCCTGGAATATGGCAATTAACCCTAATCAAAAAACATACCTAAAACACGTGAGAAGTTTAGGGATTGTTTGTTTTTTAAATACCTTTAATATCAAGGACCAGTTGTTCACTGAGGTATGAACTGATGGTTCCATCCTCGTTGAGTCTCCACTTCTGTCTGTCCTTCCCATGCTCTGCCCAGAGGGCAACTTTGGCCCCAGGCACGTCTCTGCCACCAATGACATCCAGACAGGCATTGTTGGCCTAAGGAACAAGAAGAGAGGTGAGATCCAGGCCACAAATCCTCAGTTTTGTGCCTGATTTGTTTCAGGCACTGAGCATATGTCAGGAAATGGTGCTGCAGTTGGTAAGAAGGAGTGAGGACAAGTGAGGAGCAGATTATGCAGCAACTGATCAGCTGCCTGATCAAAGGCAGTGTCTCTGCTACTTCAGGTTTTTATGTTATCAGCTTTTTATGTTAAATTATCAGCTTTTTTTATACCAAGAGCAGACTATCAAGGGCAGCATTAACAGAAAATCACTTACTCCGTTCACACATTACTTTTCAGATAAATTCTTTACTCTTTCAAGTTTTAAACTTAAACTTGCGACTTTAGACAAAACCAGGTTTCTACTGGTTTCTACTTCCGGGAGCATCGGTCCCATTAGACAGATGTGAGAAGTAGCCCAACTTGCCCAAGCAGACAGATCAAAGTGACCTATACATAGTAAGAAGATGTAGCTTTTTACGAGTTTTGGTGTAAGAGAGAACAAAAGCCATCTGGGTGTTAGTGGTGGCCTAGAGTAAAAGCAAGAAGTGAAGGTCAGAGGAGAGCAGGGATACAACCCACCCACTTCCAGCACCTGGAAACTCACCCTGGACTTGAAGAGCCCCCTGCAGTAGTGCCAGACCTGGGTGTTCCTGCCGTTGTAGGGGGATGCACACACTGAGGTTGCTCTGACGTCTGCCAGGCTCCCAGCCACCGTCAGGTACCGCCCCTGGGCTCGGTTCCTCACCCTCAGGTACACTGCAGGCTGGGAGGGGGTGAGGGGAGCGGGTTACAACACAGAGATTACCACAGCTGATGTGAGAGAGCCTCCCCTCCACCTCACATCAGTTTTCTAAACACTGTGTCCAATTTCCAGTATCAGAAGAAGATGCTCACTGATTTTTTTGTTAGAAATGTGCATGTGAAGCAGCAGCAAGCGGCTTTCACAGCTCTAAGCAGCAATGGCAGATAGGTTTTCTTTAAGAAAAATGTATTTATGGCTATAGACCTAATTCCTGGGGTATGCAAACATGTCTAGTTCAGCGCATTTCAGTCATTCCAAGGCCAGGCAGTGGGCTGGACTCCACAGGCTTTTTATTCTTGGGACACAAAACTTACTGAATTTCGTATCCAGTAACTTCAACCCCCGTTAACTGGAGTACATGGCAGACATAAACCACTTTTGAACATGCATTCTGCTTTTGAAAATATACAGAAAACAGGGTACTGACTTGGCATCCCTGTTTACTCAGTTTACTCAAAAAATAAGAGGATTTTGTAGGGCTGTTACAGGGTTTGAGCTTTTGCTCTGTCATTCCCTGATTTCAGTGCAAATAAAGAGCAGGGAGTTATAAAGAGCAGCTCTGCTGGAACCCCAAACTCAAGCACAGTTTTTCTTCTGGGAGCTTTGAATGCCCTTTTTTCCATATTAAAACAAGCAGGCAGTAAAGCCTCTCTCCCACCAAGCATCCATAAACATAATGGGTATAGTTATTATTATAGTATAGTGTATATATTCCTTAAAAGGAATTATGAAGTCACTGAGCAAAGCCTGTCTCATTTTGCAAGGCTGGGCAGTGACAACACCTGCTTTGACTGGTCTGGAGCTTCTGTGTGTCACTGATGGCCTGCTGGGCTTTGGAAAGGCAGAGAAGCACAACTGTATCTCCTTTTCCTTGATTTAGGGACATTTATCTCAGTCTTGCTTCTCCATCTACCTTTTGCAAAGCTCCTAAGAATGTTGCGGTTTTGAGACCTGACCCTTTGAATTTGACTGAACTTGGCATTACTTGGGGTGAGGCAGAGAGGGAAAATCTGGTGGGTCTGCATGAACTTTGCCTGTTTTGGAAATCCAGGCTGCAGCACAATAAAATTTGCTCTTGCTTCCATTTATGTTAATTATGAAACAAGTCTGGAATTGGTTTTCTCATTATATTGTTTTATGGCAAAAGTGTAAAAATAGAGCATCTCCAGGACATGCTAATGAGCAATTCAGAAAAACAAAACTTGGCTCCGAGAAACTAGGAATTATTTCCCTTTAGGAGGCGAACATAGATCTCAATAACTGCCACAAGAGGAATTTTCTGCTTCAGTAATCTTCCAGTAGGTCCTTCTGGCTGTCACCATTTGGCCTGATTTAAGGAGTACAACACACACCACTGTACTTGCTGCTAGAGCTGATACTTGTGCACCAAATCCCTGTCCAAAAAAAACCCCTGTCCTCACACAGTCTTACAGTACCTGCTTCATGGGACGAAGGGAACCAATTACTTTCCAGCCACTGTGTTCATTCCAGTTTGAAATCTCACTGGGCTCCAGCAGAATCTGCCTTCCTAAAAAATTACATCCCTCGTACGCAATCCACCTGGAATACAGAGAATAGGACATGAAGGACCTCATGTTAACCACAGCAAACCCAAACTGCAGGTCAGGGCTGTGCTCCTGAAAACCCCAAACCTCTCCACAGTGGTGCTCATGTCAAACCTCTATTTCTGTGCTGCAAAATGCCACCCATGTCAGTGGTTTTACTGCCTTCTGTTGACACTGAGACCTGTTTTCTGGTTTTTTCTGCCTGAAATTTGTAAACTCCACTCCCCATCTCCCCCCCCATTTTTTTTCTCCACAAATAGGAGGACCCAGATGGGAATAATGCTGGTTTCAGCAGGCAGAGTTAAGAAATTAGGAAGCCACACACTGGGTGCAGCTTTGCCTGGTTGTACATATTAATTATGAGAGGATCTCGTCCTATGTTTTCATTACAGTTAAAGCTTTTTATAGCTATTCCACCTGTCTGAAAACACCAAGTGTTTACTCCAAAACTGACACCCTGCTATAGCAGACTTTCCTGTAGTGAATATATCTGAGCTGTGGGCACGGCTGAATCCCTCACCACTGGCACATACAGACCCCCTTGTTATCTGGGCATCTGCTCAGTGAATGCTGCTTACAAAAGGCAGCTTCAGGATCACAGATCCCCTCTGTTTGTATCAATAGCACATTGTTGTGTGAATCCTAAATGACTCCTTAACTCCTGCGGACACAAAGCAAACGCTGGTTTCCCCGGTTACCTGTTTTGCAGGTCAGCTGCCAAGATCGTGAGGGGTGGGTGAGCTGCAAGTCAGTGAGAAAAGATCCACCGTGCTCACAGCACCTGGAATTTGCCTTTCCCATGGCACATAATTTGGAGGAACTCGACAGCCAGCCTTGCTCAGGGCTCCATGGAGCCTAAAGTGTGAACTGCCTTGCAATGAGGCTGTATCCCTTTCCTCAAATGAAGTCCCATCCCTCCTGACTAACAGGTATCCAGAGCAGCCTGACCACCACTGTGTTCTTTACCCTTCTAATCCATTCCTGACTTATTCCTTGCAAGGTTTTCTGTCAGGTCACTGAGAATTCATTTGTTAGCATTGTTCTTGGAGCACGGGACAGTCTCATTTGGAATGCAGTTTCAAAGCAGACAGTTATAGGAAACAGGGAGGGGAGAGACTGTCACAGTGATCACCTGATGAAGCCAGGTTGGGCTTCTGGCCTTCAGCAACTCAGGCAGAACTCACCTCAGCTCTCACCAGGCTGTGCCTCCTGTCCCACATCTCAGAGTACCTCAGCAGCCTTTGCCAAGCCACAGCCCAGGCTTGTGCCATTGCTGAGGTGGCCAGTAAATCTTTGTTATTTGCCTAAAGATGACAGTAGGCTTTGGGACAAGGAGCTAAAAAACCTCCAAATCCGCCTTCCTGAGCTCTTAATCACAGATAAGGCAAACAAACCCACAGACTTCCCACGATCACCTGACACCTTTAGGCTGCCTATCTGCCACGTGGGATGGGATGGGGACAGGCTGTGGGGGTCTGCTTCCTAGGGAGCATCACAAACAACTCAGAGGAAGCCCAGCCATTCTGCCCTGACCCTTCCCAAAGACAGGGAAGGAGCTGACCTGGCTTGGATGCACAGTAATGAGCAGAAAGATGCAGGAGGGGCTGCAGTGCTGCACTCACTCTCCTGTGCTTTCTTGCTATGTGGTCCTAAAGCCATCACCCTTCCTTTACAGCCAAATGCATGGGCAAAGGGATTTAATTTCCAGTTCCACAACCCTGATGAGAGGGCAGAGAAAACTCATAAAGGGATGTTTCCCAACAGGATGAACTTCAGACCTCAACACCTCCATAGAGGAATGGAGATTTACACACTCCCACCGGAAATCAGTCAGGTGTTCCTCCCAAAGAAGGCCTTTCCCCCTCCAGACTAACACAGATCAGGGGGAATGTGTGCACTTCTCAGCCAAACAGCAGCTGTTTGCCACCCTCACCTGGGGCACCTCAAGACAACAGCAGCAGATCATCACTCACTCTATATTCCCAGCAAGGTTTCAGGATGGAAGGGGCAGATGTTAGGGACTAGAACTCATAGTGAATTGGCAAAGCTCTGTAGGGATGCTTATATTCATTATTCTCTCAAGAAAATTACAGCCTTGTCTGTGTGAAGAAGGTGGGAAACATAGGAAGTGTGTGTCACGTTAGAGGAACAGCAGTTTCCAGCCAGTCTCAGTCGCAGGATGAGACTCTGCAAATTGTTGCTGCTGTGGATGTGGAGGCTGAAAACCTGGTCAGAGACAGAACACTTGAGAGGTTTTCCAAAAGGTGAAGGGGCAACACGTGGAAGAGGTTAGAGGGTCACTCCTGCAGATGTAAAACAGTTTTCATAGAAGAACCTGGGTGTGTGTTCACACTCAGGGAGGAGGGTTAAACTAATAAGCAAATTACTGTTCCAGCTGTCAGATCCACCCTGAGCTTCTCTCAGAAGCTGCTGCCTCTTTGGCAGCCAGTCAGCACAACAAGCTTCACTGAACCAATGCAGTGGTTTAAATCACTGCAGTTTATAGCTGGTATTTTACAGCCAGTCAATAAAGGCAGTTTGAGTTTACACTATCTGTCTTTATAAGTCAGCAATCAAAACTTACTTTTGGCTCCTTGCTTGAACAACAGGCTCTATTGGTCATTACTGTACAGAGATGAAAGGACAATTCTTCTTACAAGGGGAAATACACCCCCTGCCCAGAGTTTTTGTTCAATTTTGGGTCTTGATACAAGAAGTGTGTCTGGCATTCATCTGCATTTTAGAATTTTATATTGTATCAAAATTAAAGTTAGAATGTGAAACATCCTATGGACAGGGTGAGAAAATGCATGTTCAGTATTAGTCCCTGCAGTGCAAAACTGACAGGAATATTTACTCCATACTTACAGTCCACTCCTCACCCACACAGACTGAGTGTAAAAATGAAGGTCCTCATTCAGAACAGAGCTGACAGGTTCACTGAAGTGCAGCTCTCTGCCCTTGCAGCATTCCAGGGTGAACAGGCTGATGGAAGGCTCAGCAAAAACCTGGGGGAGGAGGAAGGAGAGAGGGGGAAAAAAAAAAGCAAAGTTTTAGTAGGAATAGTCTAACTTCAGGTGTTAGACATGAGGCACACATTTGCCCACTTCAGTTGAACTTCCACGTGCTTTTGGGTCAGGTCATGCTCCCTTTAACAAAGAAGGAAAAAAACCCCAAAGCACACAGAGCTGGAACACACTGCATTTATGAGTGGCTTTGTCACCAGAGTGTGGTGGCCCCACTGACACATGCCAAGCACAGTGAGTCACTTTGTGATGCAGAGAGGCCTCTGCATCTGAAAAAAATCTTTTTGATCTGGTTTGTATCATAAGGGCCTAAGTTTTTGCTTTTCATAAATCCAGGTTATTTACTTACTGATGGAACACATCACCAGCAGTGTTCAGGGTGACCTGCAGATTGCACCTAAAGCAGTGATGCAAATAACAAGTAGAGTGTCCACAGACTTCAATTAGCAGTAGTTCACTGCAAAAATCTTAGAGAGCTACAAACTGCAAGAGGTTAAAAAGGGCAACTAAAAAGTTCTCAATGTTTTTAACAGGCATTCCTATTTTTCTCCTGACTATCCTGAGGAAACCTCATAATTAGTAAACCCTTCAATCTCATTCAGAATTGAAACACTTTTCGCTTAATGTCCTTTTCTAGAGTTGATAGATTGCCTATGAAAGCAAATAAAAGGATCAGTTTGCATGAAAATGTGGTCCGGCTATAAGATCAGCAGAAAAACGGAGGAAATACTTAAATACATGAAGTCTGTGCCTTAGCACAAGGAACACTGGCACAATTCTTCAGCATTTTTAACCTAAAGCCATAAGGGGAGTATTGTAACCAAAAGCATAAGCACTTGCAGGAGGAGGGAACAGGTCTGGGTAACCTCTGATCAGCCTCTCCAGGAAAGTCAAGTGGTTCTTAGGAGAGGTTACCCTGAGATAGCTGGCTCAAGCAAAAGTTAGGATTTCTCTTGCAGCAAAGATATGGCCTCAGGTGGAAGGAATGAAGCAAAATCTTGAACTAAAGTTGACACAGGCACCGAGCAATTAAGAGAAATTAACTTTCATGTTTGAGGAGGCACATGTATTGTAGTGAAGTGTCTCTGAACAGCTCAGTGGTGATTCAGGACATACAAATTTACTTGACACTGACTCAGAGCACTTGGTATGTAGCTGGTTGGCCAGAATCTGCCTCAGAGAAGTTGTCTTCCTCTGCCAACCAGTGCAGGGACAATCTAAGTCATGCAACACTGCAAGGACAGAGTTTGCTGAGATATTTTAAAGAAGACCCTGGGGATCATCAGAGGCATTTTTAAAGCTCACTGTACTCCTAAAAAACTAATGTTACAACCCATAAAGAGATTAAAACCTGCAGTGTTTTTATTTTGGAATGTCAGTTCTTCCCAAGTGCCTTCTGCTAGATGGAGTGGGTCAAATTTACAATGTGTGACTAAGGGCTTACTTTGAAATCCAGACCAGCAGACAGGCAGCTCTTTCTCAGGTTGCCCTGCTCAGCAGGGCAGGTACCATCACACTCCTGTTTGCAAGAGTCTTGGCACTGCCTTTCACCTGAGCAGACACCAGAAATTGTGTCCAGAACAGGTCCAACAGGGTCAATTTTCACAAGGGCATTACTGACCATGAGAAACACCCTTTGGCATCCATGTTGCCAGACACTGTCACCCAAGCCTAAATGTTTATCCTGCTGCTGCAATATTCAGTATGTCAAGAGACAGGGATGCTGTACTAGATGGACAAGTTATCTGATACAGCATATCCATTTATATGCTAAGAACCAGGACAGCACATTGGTGGAGTCAATTAAAATGACTCCAGAGTCAATTGAAATGACTCCAGCTGTCCTGGGGTGAGACTGTTTGACCTGAATGGCCTGGGAATGTCCTGTCCAGCTGCTCAGAGTCCCTGTGTGTCTGTAGGCAGCAGGCACTGTGTCCCTGGCACACACACAGCCTGACACAAGGGCTGACACCACCTTCCCAGCGACACCTCAGGAGGACTCCACTGACCTTGCACAGACAGAAAACAGGCTGCTGTGTCAAGGACTGAGCTCTCACATTTCCATAACCATATACAGAGCAAGGAGCTGATTCCTCACTTTATGTATTCCCTTATACACCAACAGCTGGCAGCAGTGACTTGGCCTGGCTTTTTTCTCTGACTTTGTTTTCGTAGTTCCATGGAAACTACCAACAGCGAAAAACAAGGTTTAGAGGCCATGCTGTTATGCTTCCTACAGAGGCATCCTGCTCCCACCCTTCCCTGCAGAACGCTGAGGAGCATTTTCACCCATTTTCAGGTGGAACTTTCACCACTGATAGGTAATTGTGAGGCTCAAAGGACCAGCTTTCTTCATGAAGGCCCAGTCCTGACAGACCAGGGATGAAAGGGGCTCTCCAAGAGCCAGAGGAAGGGCAACTGGCAGAGAATACAGGAGGGGACAACCTCACTGCCTTAGGTGGACCCGAGTTCCCCATTTCAAAGGTGAGCTAAAGTCATCCACGTTCCCTGGCAAGTCATTCCCATGTCTAGGTCAGGATTACCTCAGCTTCCTTTCAGAGTTATTTCAAGGAAAATAACCTGAAATGCCATCCTTTGGGAAAAGCTTGCCAACTGTGAGAATGACAAAGCACTAAAGAATTACTTTATGTGTGGGGGAACTAAGTGCCTTTGCTTAAACCAGCACCAATAATATTTTAAGAGGTTTTGCTTGTTCTGTTTTTTAATGCCAGTGTCCAGGGAGAAACTTGAAGAGATTTAATATATTCAAGAGGCCAGTGATGAAGAAAGGCTATATTTACACAGCATTTCAAGATATGAGCAGCCTTGTGAACTGTTAAATACACTGATATTCTTTACTTAACAGGTGTGGTAGCCTGTAGCTCACACAGCACATGATGCAGTGGCAATGACACAGGTAAGCCATGGAAATCAACACACCAAAAATCTCTTGTGCAGTTCAACTCAGATCAGGCTTTCCCCTA